ACAAATTTTCTATCTGTGGGTTATAAACATACCATAATACTCTTTGTTGGAATAAGGCAGTTACAGAAGATCGCAAAACCATGAGGTACACAACCGTGAGAGCCGAACTTAGAGAGACAATATTTTAAGGTTATAATCAAACTAACATTAGCAGCATAGGGTGCACCGGAATAACTTGTTTTTACGGGCCGTTGTGTAAATATCTGAAAATAGTTTTTTGTTTTTCTTTGACATATTCAGAACTTCTTGCGTCGAATTTCTTACTTAGATTTCACTTATCGGTTTTTTTATTTACCTTTATTTTTTTAACACTTGTATTTGTTTTTGTTTTGTTTTTAAATTGAATTTTGTTTGGTTTTGTTTCTAAATAACCTGTACCTTGGCCGCCACTGAAGATTATGGAATGAGCTACGGACATTACATTTAGAGGCTGACCAATTGCTTTGCAAAGAGGTGTGGCAGGGTCTCGGTGATGTAGTTGGAGCAACTCTGGGGAATGTCTGTTACGCTTATACATGCCTGTAAACGGTTGACTGAATACCAGGATGTCCACCTTGTCTCATAAGCAACTGTTAATTCGCTCCGCTAGAGGGGGGCTCTCGAGAACATCCTCTCAAGCCCTAATGTTGTGGTGTAAGGCAACAACCTGGAAATGAACAGGATCTTGTATCTTAGGTGTTCAGTTTGGATCCACATCTAACGAAATTAAATCCTTCCAATCAACAGGCGCTGTTGCTCCTTCCTCTCCGGGAACCCCGTTTGTATCCACCCAAGATGTTAAAGGACTCGGCTTGATCCCCTTAGCCTGTTTCCGAAAGTTTACCCATCGATGTTCTTTATCCGAAATCCCTGCATTGGATGACAAGAGCTTTCTCTTAAGTGCCATCATATAAATGAAGAGATTTGTAAAATTAATGGACCTTAACTAATGGTCCGACAAAATGATAAAAGAGACAGGGAAATCTTATGGTACAGGGTTCCCGACCAGTAGGGAGCACGTCTGAGAGCAGAACGTCTAGTGGCTACCGAGAAATGCTGTATACCAACAGGGGTCACTCACTCAGATCAAGCCAAGGGAGAGCTATCAGAATAAATTAAACTAACCCGAGGAAAACTCGCAAACATGAAATGAAACAAGAGACTACAGATAACAATTTCACCAGCCATGAACATTTAATAATGCGAAATAAAGATTACAAGGAACACAGTTTTCGTCGGCCATCCAAAATGCACTCCATTCGTTCCTTCTCCTCACATCATCATTTGCTCCTGCAACCCTCCGTTAAACCTTCTTTTCTTCGCTGGACGTCCTGATTGCCGATAAGGGCAATAGGTTTGGTAATGCCCCACCTGATTGCAAGCGAGGCATCGAACTGAGGACTGATCAACACGCCCACGGCCCCTGGCACCAAAGGGTCTAGGAATCGCCACTTTCATTGCTTTGTTAACTTTAGCAATGGAATATCCAGAACAATATCATGATCTTTATCACCAAGGAGCGCCTGAAGATATTGTTGGAACTGACAGAGAATCTGGCCCCCGATCCTAGCGTGCATAGCCTGTAGAACCACGTTGAAAAAGCCCTGACCTGGAATAACTCGTCTCTCTAGCCACTATCTTCAGGATGATCAAGTAATCCAAAGCCTTCTCCTTATCGAACATGGGAGTCCTGCTTAAGGTGGCTCGTATTGGTTTTCTCGCTTGGAGATGTACACATCGCGTGCACCCATCCCACTCCACTTTGGTGAAAAAAAAAATGGCGGCGCTCAGTTATTTTTATGCAAGTTTTCATACTTGTGCGCGAGGTTACTTTTGGCCCCAAAACAAATCGCGTTTATCTAACTCCATGTACACTGTAAAATCCTGTTTTAACTATATGTTGTCAGGAGGACAACAATTTCTCCGCTCAATGCGTAAGTTTCAAAGGAATACTTGCATTTGCACGGCGATCGATCGTGACAGGGATCAAAAAAAGAAATGACTCTATAAGCACTTCGCTTTGTCTCTTTGTCTCTGGTGAGTCCAGAAGGCGATGTTTCAAGTTACCAAACGTTGCACCGAACAGGAAAACCTAAAGGCAATGCCTGGAAGCGTGTAATTTTTTTCTTCTCTGCAAAGACTGTAAACAAACTTGATGGATGCCTGCAAGTGTACACGCAACAGTCAGTGGAAGACAACACAGCGCATGAGTGACAATGATCTTATAGGATTCAGATTTTACACACCCGAAAATTAAGCACGAGTGGGAGTTTGTGAAATCTCGAAGTATTTTACAAGAAAACAAGTCCGGTGACGCCGTATTTTCATTGCTTTAATATTTTGTTATAGTTGAAAGGAAACGCCAGAGAGAAAATAAAAAAAATTCTTTGGAAGGAAATTTCTACTGAATAAAAATGCACTATTTTTCACTTTCGCAAAAACTCTGCCCCGTAGAATTTTTTTTTAAAATTAATGTGCATTTTCCTTTTCTAGAGCTTGGTTCTAATATGCCGCCTAGCTACTTGCGACATAGCCGCCGGTACTGCCTGCGATAAATGAGGACATAACGCCGTCGGCAACAAAAAGCATCGCAGGTCTTCTTCCGGCATGCCTGCGAAGTTGAACTCGAGTCAACTTCTCAGGCCTTCCGGCGGTAAAGACTGATATGACCTGTGTTGCCGGCTACTTCTGTTCTCATATTGAAACGGTATCGCAAGCAGTATCGGCAGCTATGCTCAGCGGCATATAAGAACCAGGCTTAATGCCAAAAGTGGTCGTCCAAAAAAAGTAGGGGTCACCGGCTTAGCTTTCTAGTTATCAGTGCTGGAAGCTAATATAAAAAGTAGGTCAAATAATCCTTAAGATAGAGTGCCATGACTCAGAATTAGGCTTTTGGGAGTTCTCTAGAGACTCCAGCCTACCCATGACCTCAACATTGTCTTACCCTTTCTGAATAATGAAGACAAACAGAAACTCGTATTACTGAACAAAACAATCGTATCATAGACACAAATATTCAACTTTCATCCGCTCATCCACTTTTAGCCTGCGAGCAAGCTCTCCTGTTTGGCCGAGTTTGAAGTTCAGGGGCTTTGCTGACATCCTCAACACTCACATTGGTTTTCGTAAGGATGATTGTGAGGCCCAAGTTTTCGCCCGAGCTGGCGAGTTTGTTGATGAGCCATTGCATTCACTCAGGCATTATTATACATAATAATGCGAATGTTTGGGCAATCAACTAATCGAAGTTACCACCCAGTTTTTGGGTAGTGACGTCACTGGACGGCATTAACGGCTCGTCGATTCAGGACGGCTAATTTCGAGAATCTCAAATTAAAAAAAAACAACAACCTGTCGAGCAGTTTCAAAATTATTCACGTATTTGTTTAAGAAGAACAAAATTTTTATAAAACCGCTAACAAGAGCGCCTCAATACTAATCAAATACTTCCCTCTAGCAATCGGCTAAAGCTTTCTCCATGATCTTGCACAAAAAGATTGAAACTAAATTAAGGTGAAATTGCATTTCAAAAGCGTTGCGTTTTCTGTAAATAACGGCAGAACATCAAGATTGTCCAGTTTTTGCCATATTGATAACCATAAAAACCTCATCCTAAAATATTTCGATAACGTTCTCATAGATTTCACTTGATAAACTTCACGAACTTCGAGGAGGCTATTGGAGGAAAATGGTCCCGTGAAAGTTTTTGGAAGAACAGTTACCTGTGCCGAGAAATACGGCTGCAAGTAAATTAGGTAATATCAGTGTGAAATGTTTGAACCCAGGAGTCATTTCAAAAGTAGGTTGAGTTTAATCGTCCGGTTGAACTTAGTCCTGAATAGGACTGTCGTGGTTGACAGTGACTGACGTTTCTACAACCTGTGCGGTAGTCATCTTCAGAGTCAAAGTGAGTTGTATCACGTCAGTTGATGGTATTATACTCTGGATATTGATCTGATTGGTCAATTATTCGCGATGTTATTCGTCGTCTGTCAGTTAAGCCGTTATGTTATTGGCTATGAATACTCATAATCAGTAATTGGTGCGTTTCGATCCGTCTATTGTCACAGTTAACAGTAGTCTATTGTTATCTTGTTAAATTGTCAGTTCTCCAGGTGTTCTCTCGTAGTTAGTTTTGCTTGATCTCGTCAATAAGTCGTTTGTACGGTGCTGGTAACTGTTGGCTACGGTTCAGTGGCGTTTGTTCTAAGTTAGTAAACCAGCTTTCTAAAGTAAGTCGTTGATAGTAGTCTGTAGAATACGTTATACATGTCGCAGAGTCCCAGTCAATTTGATGTATGTAGGGTATAGGTATATCGGGTTTGTGTAGTTTTGGTAGTCCACACCGCTTGGGTAGCTGCGGAACACTGCACCTCCGCTCAGTCTGTTGTAGCGTCGAAAGTCGATCTTGTCGGTTTTCTTCAGTGTAAGCAGTTTTTTTGTTAAGTTTGCGTTGCAGTACGGGTGTCGGGTCTCGTTTAAGTACTTCGTACGTCTGTTTGTTGTTGGTTAACAAGCAAGTCCATTTTGTCGTTGCAGTCTGTCCTGTCCATAACGACAGTCACCCGTCCTTTGTCTGCGGGCAGTATGACTATGTTCTCGTCTGTTTTCAGTCCTTCAGGAAGTGCTTTCTGTTCGTCAGGAGTCAGGTTACTGCTAGGTAATGAGACTGATTGACTGATTACTGTCAACCTCCTTTTGAAAATAGGTGATGGCGTCATTTCTTTGCTAAGACATCTCCAATGCAATTGCAACCTTGATCATAATATAACAAACTTTCGTCTTTATCTAATACCGCTGTGGTAGTATTATTTCCAAATCTTTGTTAGTGGCGACGTAGTTTATACCCAAACTGAGTAGGTATTGACCATGAAAAATCCCTTGAAAAACGCCGCAGAGCCACCTTACATTCGAGACACGTTTCCTCCCCAGGGTTTTCAGTTTTGAAACGCCGAAGGAAAACTGGAAACAAGAGAGGCTCTCGCATAACTTGAATTGCTTGGTAACCGGGCCGCTTTACGATTTTCGACTTGCTTGTTGCAGTTTTTAGAAAAGATTTGATTGTCTTCTTTCTTCTCTGTATAATGCAGATATCTGTAAAGAAATTGAATGGCCAAGAAATTAAACTAGAGGTAAGGAATTTATGAATTAGATAATGAGGAAGCGAATGAGTGCATCTCTTTCTATTCTGGCGATTCATGGGTTCCGATCGAAACCAAAACCGGCTTTGGAAGTTCTTTCACTACCTTGTTGTTTGTTTGTTTGTTTTTTCTTTTCAATATACACAGGTTTCTGAAAATGATCCGATCTCTTTGATAAAAAATCTTGTGTCTGAGAAACTTGGAATCCCTGCTGTTCAGCAGAGGTTAGTTTTCAAGGGAAAAACCTTAGCAGGTAATTATAGACTACATTATGACTATTTCACATTGGTTCAAAGGCATCCCATATACCCGATGTTACTAGTCGAACGTAATCGAGCGTTAGGCCCGGTTCAGACGCCGAACGTTTCATGAGCCAAACTTAATCCATGGGCCTTCCGGGCAGGCGCTCCCTCTCCCCTCGCGTGTCTCCCTCTCGCGCGCCCCTTCTTCCTTGCGCCCACTACTTCCAAGCGCCTGCTACCCAGGCTAAATTCCATCCGAACTAAATTCAAACGGAGAAAAATTCTTTCTGAGTTAAACTGCCT